GATGTCTAAGCAAAGCAGTATGCTGAGGGTAGTGAATTTGGGCTAACCTTAGAATTTTTAAGAAGTTTCAAGCATGAAGTCTAGCTTTGATTTATACTTCTTTGTATAATGAGTGCAGACCAAAAAATATGATCTGGAAGTTAAAGTTTGTTAACTTACCCAGCTTCTGTGTGATCTGTCCTTAACTGCCTCTGAAGTGGTCGTAGTAGTTCAGTTTGTGCCTGGGAATTCATATGTATGTACATTACTTGTAAGACAAATTGTATGCACATCTGTTCTAAATCTGTTTTATGACAGCCTTATAGCTGAACTGAGAATTGTGAAAATGTAAACTAAATTTAAAAAGGGCTTTAGAGCTACTGAAACACTTGTAAATGATCACACTCTGTCCTCCTTAGCTATGCCAAAACTGAACTGGGATTATTGGCTCTTTTTCCAGCTCTTGGATGTGGCTCCTACACATTGTGTCACATCAAATGAAACACAGGTGTTCTTGATGTTCCTGGTTTCTTAATTTGCACTGGAGGAAAGACTAAACAGGCAGGTGTTCTTCCCATTGCACTGAGTCTCAGCACACTTCAGCTGGGTCTCTGATCTGGACTATAAAGTGATCAGAAACCAAGGATGCTACATGGTGTGTGCTGTATGTCTGCATGCAAAGTAAAAATGTAGCCCCTTTGGCTAGCATCTTGTGTTAGAGTTTGTATTTCTTCCATGGTTTCATGATTGCAGACAGTTGCCCTGTGCACTTTTTTACCATCTAATGAAAAAGGGATCTAGTGATAAATATCCTGTGGCCTCAATGTGCTGGGCTGGGAGCCAGGATGTCATGGTGCTAGAAGTTCTGTGTGCTTTATAACAGCTGCATGTACCAAAGCCTCTCATCTCCTGTTGAGATGGGACAGTTTGCAGAGGATGCTGCACAGGTGTGCTTGGCAGTCTTGTCTCACAGGCATAGGAACAGGCACGCTCAGGCCTGGGCTGAAACCTGGAAACACATTTTTCCCATTCTCCTGCTGCTTCACACACACATTGCTTCCTGTGTACCCATCCAACATCTAGCCTTTGCAGGGAGGAGGAAGTGCCCTAATGCATGATCACGAGCAGAGAAGTCTGCAGGGATATTAATGGAGCACCTTGATTCTTAAGTACTACTACCAACTGGATCAGAATGTGTATGATGGAGGAGGGTAGGGTGCAGCATGGCTGCATTGGTTTGCTTTATGTTCTGTGGTAAATTTAGCAGAAGTTGAGGACTGCATGAACTTTGCAAGCTCAACAGAAAGTTCTTGAGTGTCAGAATGGGCTGAGAGAGACTGGCAGGCAGGAAATCTTGTTTCTGAATAAAAAGCAAGCTTGGATCACAAAGCTGCTATTGTGAATGTGTGAATGGGCGTTTCTTATTCTGTGTAAACTAATTCACAAATTGCATTTAGTTGGGTTACGATTTGACTGTAGTAGGATTTTATTGCCTTAAATGCTGGCTGTTGAATGTTCATTATCTGTGATTTGAAGAAGAGCTTGAAAGACCAGCCCTTTCCATTCAGCTAACTTGTTGACATTAGGTATAATGTGCCTCTCCTGCTTACTTTGTTGTACTGCAGGAACTGAAGTAAATGCACTTTTAGACATTTCCATTTATGTACTACACTTGCATAGGATGTTACAAAATTCCAGTCTTCATTTTAAATAACTTCAAAAAAATCAGTTTACCAGATGCAGAAACCACTATAACTGGTATAAATCTGGAAAACACATACATCTTTTCTGAAGGAGAAAGCACACAAATCTGATAAGATGGTACCAACAATAAAATCTCTACTAAACAGCTCTGGGGAGGGAAGGTTTTTTGCAAAATAAGGCCCGTTTGAAATTTAGTCTTAACACTCAAATGTCAGGTCAGTCTAGCTCCTAAGCTAGACCATTCATCAGAAAATACCTTTCATCATCACAGACCTATGAATTAATCTACGTAACAACCCAGTACTGTTTAACATGAAGCAACTGAAACATTTTACATTTGTTAGGGTTCAACTTTATAGTTTGAAAGGGAACGTGTCCTGTTTAGGCACAAAGTATCCTCAATTGTTACGCTGTATCTCCACGGTAAAATGGTGATGTGCTTTCAGGTTGTCCAGACTTGTCTCTCCTAGCTGCATTCTGTTAGCACTGACTACCCTGACTGTTGTGTAGAGGGGCAGTGGGCTAGCCCGAGGGAGGAGTGGGCACAGTCAGGGTTGGGCATGTTTTCCACTTCTTGACAGGCTACTTTAGAAGATGTGCCCGGGGCTACAGCAGATACTTGCTGATATGCAGACCAGGTTAAATGGGATTGTGTCACTTGCAATCTTGGCCCATCTTCCGTCCTTAGAATGTTTCTCTGTGAATGTGGTCACTGATGGATTTGCAGCTTTTGATAAGATTCGTAGGTGTGTTGCCAATTGCAGGCTTCAACTGAGACTTTTCACAGGTGGGGCATTCAGAGCAGCTCTCTCCAGTGGGAAGGCTGTTGTGTTCTCATAGTTGTCAGCCTTTGTCTTCCCCATGGTTCAGGTGCCACCAGTCATTCTCCTCCAAGCAGCTGCCTGCTGTCATCAGTTACACAGCTGGAACAGCTTGAGGTGCCTTAGCTTGGAAAGGTGCCTGATGGGTCCTGGAGAGCCTACCTGTGCAGAGCCTCTCTCAGGAAATTGGGTTTTTTGGCATATACTAAAATATAAAATATCTATCTCTTCTGGTTACAGGGGACTTTGCTGCTCCTCTGTCACATTTGGTTGAAATTGGTGCACACACAAGCCTAATTTCTTAAGAGAAACCCTCTCATCCTGATGACCTTAATTAGTAGAGAAGATTTCTTAAAGTAAGCACCGTTGCTTTGGCTGACTGCTTTGGATATAATCTTTGAAATGATTGACTACGTTAAATCATGATAATGAGGTCTGACCATTAACCTCCCACAGAGCTGATTACAGGGACAGGGGTGATGAGGAAGTTTTTTATTTTTCTTAGTGCTATTGTTTCAGTCTGTTTGCAGAGTAAACACAATGAGTGTGTCGGTTGATTATGCTGCAGACCATCTCTCAAGCCAGAGGAGATGGATATCTAGTTTTTAAATGTGTAGACCTGGGTTTCAGAGAAAACATGCTCTGGGAAGATTCTGAGGAGGCTGTGAGTCTGTGCACCTGTGCCTTTCTAGCCATCTCAACTGTTTACTTACTAAGTTTCTAGAACATTTATCCCTCTACTTTAACTTCTCCCCAATGCAATTGTTTACAACACCTCTGAGGGACAGCACTCTCTTAATTGCTTTAAGATTGTCTTAAGTTAGAGCAGCAGAGACTGGCTCCTCCCTTACAGCATTTCTGCAGACAAGCACAGCCCAGCTCTTGAAAGGTGTGTTTTTAAAGGGCATCTTGCAGACTGCCTGTAGTGCTCATAAATCAGTTATGACTATCGCGTGGCTACGAGTGCTCCGAGTAACAAAAGGCAGTTATTGATGAAAGGGAAGATTGCTGCAGGAAGGAGAGTCAGTGGTATTTTGTGCATTGCAATGGGCAGCCGCCCATGCGGTGAAACCAGCCCAGGGTTTAGCTGAAGGGGAGCTTTGTTGAGGAAAGGAGAATCCTTGCCTGGAATAATTGCCTCTGAGCCAGGGGGAGTTGGCTACTCCAGAGTGGGAACGGGCCCCCAGCTACCTCTGGCACAAACAGCAGGGCTGTTGCAAATCTGATTTGAGTCGCTAACAATAAGGTATTGAAAAGGCAAGCGGTCCTAGCAGTTCTCTCTGTCTTTCTTCTGGATCCTAATTTATGCTTCAGCTGCACTTGCCTGGAGCAAACATGTAACAACAGAAATGTATACGTGGAAACAAGAAGGACAAAACTCTCAAGAAGAGACAGCAAAAGGCCAAGAAGAAAGACCCTCGGAAAATAAAGGAATCTTCTAAAAATCCAGATATTTTACTTGAAAGGAAAAAAAAAATAAAATCTGAACTGTTATTGTTGGCCATATGTTGTGATACAAAGCAAAGTTACAAAATGGTCTCTTCCCCCACAAAGCTCATAAAACTGCGCTCTGTGTACCAGGTGGATTATTTTGTTTTTCATTAAATAAAGAAACTTGTAAACAGTGCTCTGTACCGTAGAGATCTTAATCTCCACTCCCCTCCCCCCCTTCCTTAAACACTGGAGCACACACTTTGCAGGTTGTGCTCAGGCAGTGGCCGAGCCCTGGGCGAAGCCCCACAGGTCACTGCGGCTTGGGGGGCCAGGCAAGACGCCCCCTCGTGTCCGAGAGCCTTTACCTCCTGGGTTCAGTTGTGCTTTTATCAGTCCTAGTTCTGGAATCAAATCAAAGGCTTGGTTGCACAGTGTTTGAATGGCACTCTGTGCAGCAGCAGCAGTTAGTTGGCTTGGGCCTGTGGAGCTGGCACCACTGCAGGTAGGGAACAGCAGAAAAAGGAGGCTGAATAATGAATAGGTTTTAGGTATAAGTTAGCAAGAAATGTTTTATGAAGGTCATTGGGAATAACTGCTAGTTTTGCCAGTTAAGTCAGTACATACCGTTATTCCATATTTTTGCAGCTTTCAAGTTTGTAAGGTGTAACGTGTTAAAAGTTTCACTGTGATCCTTGTAACTTGAGCCACCATTCTTGACAGTGCTTTTGCAACAGGTACTAAGCAGAACACCCCTCCCTCCACTATTCCTCTGCCTAGTCTGTTTGCCTATTATCTTGTGTAATAGGAATGCAACTTTTTTTTTTTTTGCCTAGCTCTTTTATATGTAAATTTATTGAACATTTTACAAAAGCTGGTACTACTCTCTTCATCTGTACTTTCATTATGCTGGAGATTGCAGCCATAGCCTTGGTGCAGCAGCCTCTCCCATCATACGGACAGGTACTGGTCAGTTTGTAGCACTTTTGGGCTGAAGGAAACTGCTCTGCTGCAAAGCCCACTTACTAATGCTCTTGTGTGTATTTGCCATGAGCCTGTAACTAGATGTGGTGAGTGATAAAGTGGCAATTGAGACCAAATGTATTAACTTTTGCTTGATCTGTTTGACTCATTGCTCATGTCCTGTTACAGAAAACCCTTCTGAAATTAATGACAAATTACATTTAAAAAATAGATAATAGGTAAATTTTAAGGTGTTCCCACTTATTTAATACTGAACTATACCTGGTTTAGGTGAACACTAGATTAGTAGTAGGTGTTACTTCTTTTTCGTCATTTATGTTTTCTTTTTGTAATTGATTTCAGTTAAATGTATTTTTTCCTAATCAAGTATACATCTAACCAAAAACACTGGGGCAAAATGTTCTTATATTGTTACTTCCCTTTTTCCAAATAGTGCTATCAAAACATTTAAAGCCTATCTGTATATTAGTAAAAATACGTTTGAATTACTATCACAAGACCTGCACACATTTATTTTTTTTTGTTAAATTTGGAAGATAGCTAATACCAATAAACATCTATGTCACCAAGTTTAATACAGAGATGCTTTCTTGCTGTAATCATAACAGTTTCATTGAGCTATGTGATGTTCTTTAACGTGCCTTGTGAATAAAGCAATCGCTTCTGGATCACCATTTTATTCTTCCTGTCTATGCAGTAACAAGCGACTTGTGGCCTTAGGGTCAAATGACACTTCATTCAACACCAGACGAGCCTACACCAGCGAGGATGAAGCCTGGAAGTCATATTTGGAGAATCCCCTTACAGCAGCTACCAAGGCTATGATGAGCATAAATGGTGATGAGGACAGTGCTGCTGCTCTTGGCCTATTGTATGACTATTATAAAGTAGGTAACTCCATTGTTACTCCTCCCTGCTGCAGTAGCAGGGGAACTGCTCACTCTATGAAACATGGGAAGAGCCAGTTTTTAAAGACAGAAGTCATTGCATCTTGTTTTCTTTTGATGTGTTTAGTTCTGAAGAAAAAATACAAAATCAGAATTTCCAAATGAAATTTGCAACCATCTTTTCTTTTTGAGTCCTGCATTCTTCCTCTTCCCTTGAAAGATAGTTGGATGAATAAGCCCCCTTTTTATTTGTGCTTTAATATTTGCAGTATTCTTTGAAAAAAGAGGAGGAAGCCTTGTCCACATGTAGGTTTGTCTGCTTTTCTGTTTCATTCCACACATGCTTTAGTTAGGTCTTTAACTGGAGTATCTCTCATCTGACAGTTTCCCCTATTATTTTTATTTGTATAATGATGGCAGTAGCCTGTATGCAAACTTACAGTGAGGGCTGCCCCTTGCGCTCTACATAGAAAGGTGGAGGACAGAAACAGAGCTGGACACAGAGAGATCTAAGTCAATTTACAGGGAAAGCAGTGATACACAATTTCAGTTTATGTCAGTTTCTAAGTCCAGGGCTTTGGCTTTACCTATAGTTTTGATACCATCTTTTTAAAAAAAAATATATTTCATAGTGTTAAAATAGAGCTATATTTGAGTTTTCTGCTGAAATCAGAGGAGTATCCTACAGGGTGCATCTCTGTGTAATGCAGAAGTTTCACTCTGAAATCCAGGCTGACCCCTTTCTACTCTGCAAACAGAAAATTGTTCATTTCAGTTAAAATGTCTCAGTACTCCTGAAACCACCTATGCCTGCATTGGACAGATTATCTGTGAAAGCCAGGAGAACAATGCCAGCTCCCCTCATAATTAATGAAGGAGTAGCAGAATGGAAATTTGATTTTAGTATTTATTAGAAAATGCTTTTTGATAATGGGATGCTCATTATAGTTGATTGTATGCAAGTTACTATATACTAAACTTATGGTTAAATATTGCTTTAATTCGTTTACTGATTATATTTGAAGAGATGTTCCTTGCTTTTGTGTGGTGTTGTCAGTAGAGAAAAGCTTTTTCCCATGAGAAAGAAGGGTCCTTTTCTCTACTTGACAGTTGCCACAGTGCCAGTCTGTGAAGTAAATGCAGATTTGTAAAATTCAGGATGTGTATAAGCATCTGGAGTTTTGCCTTCTGTCTTAGTAATACCTTTGTATATAGCAGTTAATTGCTGGATTTTAAAAATAACAATAGTGAACCTTCTCAAGACTTTGTTTTAAAAGAGATGTCTGTTCCTTATTCCAGGCAGTTGCAAAAGACTCGGGGTTCAGATGGGATAAGCTGTATTAATTTCAAAGCCATTTCCAGCATTCAATCATAACTATTTCCGGCTTAATCTGGGAGAAAAAGGATAAATCTTGTTAATGTTCTCAAACAGAAATTTAAAACCTAACTTAAGCCTCTGTGCTGTAATGTGGAAGTGTAGAGGAGGACTTCCAGTGCACAAGACCTCGGAATTGCCCTTACTTATCTTCTGACTCATTTGATCTAACATGCTGGGAAATTTTTTTGAAGTACTTTTTCCGGTCCATAGGAGTTACATGAACTGTTATTTATTTATTTTTTTCTCTGTTCCTTTTTCTTGTAGTGATATTTACTTAAACAAAGACCCTCCTTCAGAGATAAAAATATGATCTTAACAAGGCAAATCAGCATCTGAAAACTGTGGCTTGAATCCCCCTTCTAAAATTTAGGAAAGATTTTTTTAATTGACAAGAGGCTTAATAGAGGGAGAGAGGCTGTCCAGAAGAGAAGGAAGGGGTGTGGCTACTGCACTCTGACTCTGCTGCTGTCTTGCAGCTGATGGTCACCTGGGCTACTGTAGTGCACTGTACTATGGTTTTTCATCTAAACTCAGATAATTTCCCGATATTTCTTTACAGTATTTAAAGGCAAAAGGCACAACTTTAGCCCATTCTTGGGTCTATTCTTGCTCTTTAATCCTGAGTTAACTGCTGTGACTAAGTGGATATACCTTCTTTTATAAGAGAAAATTTAGAAGTTCTAGTTCTCAAATTGCTAGTTCAGTGAGAAAAGAAAAATACAGTCATGGCAGCATCTTGTCCTGGGTACGATGAGTTCTGCATCCTTTAGACTGTCCTATCACAGGAGGACTTAGCTGGTGCTTGTGGTTTAATTCAACCCCCTTTTTCCTGTGAGCTAAAAGAGTCTCCACGCAGGCTCATCAAAGCATCACGTCTTCCTTCTCATCTTTTATTATTCAGTGGAAAGTGTATGTGTGTGTTTGGGAATATAAGCTTTGATTTTGAAACAGCTTGACCTAGCTCGATATTTCAAATATAAGGGCATATAGAAGAGTGCTTTGCTTCAGATCTGTGCGTCCCAGAGCTAGAGAAGAAAACAATCCCTACATTTGTTTCCTTTTTGAAATTTTCTTTCTCTTCACAATCAGTCTCCCAAAGGAAAACAGCTCTTGGCATCTGTGAACTAGACAGCACTGATATGGTTACATTTTTCTAGTTGTTGCAGTAGAGCAGTCTAAGGCTGCAAATACGTGACAGTTGCATTTACCTGACCCTATGCCTGGTGTTGTTCTCAGGTTCCCAGAGATAAAAGGCTGTTGTCTGTTAACAAAGTGAGTGATAATCAAGAAGACCAAGATAAAAGGTACAGTATTATCCAAAATCATACACCCAGCTACTAACAGTATTGATCAATTGTGAACTGAAGGATCTATGATAGCCAAAGGGTTTTTGGTTGTCTTCCAAAAGATAAAAGAAGAAAAAATGTTTTGGGAAGGAAACTTTATTCCTTTCTACTTTTAATTTATTAGAAAAATTGAACAGTATTTTTAATGTGCAATTTGCAAAGTAGCAGAAAGCTTCATTATTTATTTGCATTTTGTTAATTTTTTGTTGTTTTGTTTTGCAGCTGCAAAATAAAAAACTACTTTACATTGGTAAAATCAGATTTCTTGACAGTTGGCTTTTGGCTGTTTTTCTTTCAGTTTTCTTCTTCTGGAGCAAAAGATGTGTAGTTTGGCCTCAGTAATCTGATTTATACAATTTTATTTAACTTAACTTTGGATCTGCTCAGAGACAAATAAAATCATTAGCTCAAAATGTTTTTCTTGCTCCTCTCATATTTCAGCCTTCTTCTGTAGCCTAAAAGCAACTTGAAGAGTCACTGACTACTGCTTTTGTTAAGACTTGTAGACTGGAGAGTGTGTATTTATTAGAAAAAACTAAGCTTTTACATACAGAATGGTACCTTCATGTAAAATTATAGTGGAGAGAAGCTACCTAGGGTTTATTTTAATGCAGCTAATTTGAGACAGCCTTAGACAGTGTCCACTAGCATGTAAGGTGAAGGTTTAAATAGATTGTAGTATAAATTCACTGTTTCAAAATGGAATCTGAAATTTCTTTTTTGAAGGACAGTTGTTACTCTGCAAATGCCAGAGAAATTCCTAAGTTGAGTGTGATGGAGAAAACTGGCCTCCAGTAGAAAGCCAAGACAGAGGAACTGTAATGTCAGAACACATCTCCTAGGTTGGAAACAAAGCAGTGTGTTACACCTACTAGAAGTTTTATGAGTTAACAGCTTTATGTCCGTGGAACTAGTATCGGCAATCAGATTGCTTTCAACAGCAACTGTGGGTAGACGTGGGAATGCTGCTAGAGGTTACCTTGCAGCCCCTATCGTTACTGATCTACTCTGATACAATGGGATTCCTGGGCTTGCTCATTCAGAAGAGCATTGGTACCAGAGTTACACAAACAGTAGTTGCCTGTCAACAGCCTGAAAGGACATGCATCAGCATATGAATTTTGCTGTTGATTTTCTGCCCGTTTCATATGCAAATTGCTCACTGTGAGTAATCCATACCTCACCTTACTATTTATGCTTATTTTGTGCCTAAGGACCTTTGCACTGGTGGATTGCTTTTGAATCCAAATTGCAAGACAAAGCAAAAGCAGGACTGAATATTCAGAATTTATTGTGACAAGTCATACTAATTATAAGTCAAATGTATTATCTTTCCATAGCTGTTGAAGAGCTCTGGACCTCTATGCTTACCTCATGATGTCTTTTGCCTAGTATTTGTTAATGCATTACTACTTATGGCAATGGCTTATCAGAGTTGAAAGACCTTGCCTGCCATCTAAAAACATTAAGCTTTATAAGGAGGAGATTTACTTTATCAGGACAGTTCATAACACTTTGGTTTTGTCTCACAGAAATTGTCTTAATAGCACGGAAGCTCAGAGTAATTTAAGTGGGGGAGAGAACCGCGTGCAAGTCCTGAAGACGGTGCCAGTTAACCTCTCCTTGAACCAGGATCCTCTGGAGTCATCCAAAAGGGAATACAACACAAGTGTATCTGGGAGCTCGACACCCATCACAGGGACTGGAGTGACTGTGGTTAAAGCAGAGGAGTTCACCCCTGTTTTTATGACCCCACAAGCACACTATACCAGAGGAGAAAATGAGGAGCACCGTGGAGTTATCTTTGAACCATACGAAGTGTCCAACATTGCTCCCCACACAAACTATCTCAAGGATGATCAGCGCAGCACTCCAGACAGTACATACAGTGACACCTTCAAAGATGGAGGAACAGAAGTAAGTTTGTCACCTCAAATTGACATCTTAAGAACACAATAAAACACTGTAAACAAGATAAGGAGATTTTAGCTTGTAAACAAGATAAGGAGATTTGAGCTGCCCACAAGAAACATTAAAAGAACAAGTGTTTTCAATAAATTAGTCTCAGCTTCTCCCCCTGTTCCTCTCACTCTGTGGTCTGGTTATAGGGGAGCATCATGAGGTGTTTCAGAAGATAGTTTTAAAGCTGTTTGCTGGAAAATCTGAGAATAATAGATTCTGAGAATAAAAATCTGAGAATAATAGATAGGTCTTCCGTCTTCTGAGATATTGTGTCAAGTAGAAGATAGTTGCCATTCTGAAATAAGATGTTACTATTAACAAGATCTGCCTTTAGACCTATTCTTAACAGTAAGAAATAGCAGCCACCTTGTAATTAAGAAATTCTTAGTGTTCTCCTGAAAGGGCAAGTGAACTTTGTCAACCTCTGCTGCTGCATGAACCCAAGTAATTTATTCAGAAGCTGTTGCACAAGCTCTGCTCTGCAACATGGACAAGTGAGAAAAACTAGTAGAATGAGGTGATTACAGGGAAATCGAGAAGCTAATGGGCAGGGAAAGCACAGGTGCAAGTATATGTAGGGA